ACTCACACACACACTCACACTCACACACTCACACACTCACACACACACTCACTCACACACTCACACACTCACACACACACTCACTCACACACACACACTCACACACACTCTCACACTAACACACTCACACTCACACACACTCACACTCACACACTCACACACACTCACACACACTCACTCACACACACACTCACTCACACACACACACTCACTCACACACACACTCACACACACACACACACACTCACACGGATGAAAGCTCTGCTAGAGGAAGCACCTCACCAATCTCATTCCCTCTGCTTCTGCCATCAAGACAGTACTGGTATATTACATGAGTTTGTATGAAGAATCTTCTACGAATACTGTGAATAGGGGGCTTGATAAATATTTGTTGGATAAATGAATAGATGAGTAAATTTTATTAAATATAATTCCTTTAAATGTTTGCTAATCCGTAGGATAATAAAGGAAATATAAATTAATGTTAATATGTGTAATAAATTCTGCGTATTAAAAGTATAATTAGCCCTTAATCATAGAAATAATTTGTGTTCAATATTCTAATTAATTTTTAATGGAAAATTATAAAAGAGATTGAAAAAATAGAAATATTTTTATTATGTAATAGGACTAGAATAAGTAGGATTCAGAGAAAGATAGTAGATAAATAGCTAGCTAGCAAGATAGAAATATCTGCTTGAGACTCAAATAAATACACTGACAAAAAATACATTGAAAGGACTCAGTGATAACACAGAACCCCCTGAAATAAATAAATAAAATAAATGAAACCAAAAGAAATACACAAATTCAAAATACAGAGAAAACAGAAGTATGCATGGTATTTCTCATAAAATATCAAAATTGGTATATACTTCACATATCCTCCCATCAAACCTTCTTCCCTATGCAGACAACTTCTCTGAAAATGAAGGCAGGACCTCTGTTGGGTGGTTGCTCACTTTCAGGATTGGAGACCTCACTACCTCTCAATTCAAGGTGTTTTATTGTATGAAAAATACCATCATCATAGGGTCTTACTGTTTAATATTCCTACAGCCTTCAGAGGGGAAAAAGGTGAGAAAACAGAGGCAAGGAAGAGAGTAAGCCTCTGCATTTGAAATATTTATTCATATTTATTGTCATATTCTCCCCAGCTGTGGATGCCAGGCAACTCTTAGCATATCATCCATGGAATAACTGAATGGGGTGTGTGTGTGTGTGAGAGAGAGAGAGAGAGAGAGAGAGAGAGAATATGAACCAAGGAGAGGAAGAAATCTTGAAGGGAAGGAAAATACTGTGAAAATGCAAAAGAAGGAAGCAAGTATAGAAGGAAGGAAGAGGGCCGGCCCGGTGGCGCACTGCTACAGTGCGCCGCTTGGGAGTGCGGCTGCGCTCCCGCCGAGGGTTCAGATCCCATGTGGAGACCAGTTCCCGCTCACTGGCTGAGCGCGGCGCAGGAGCAACACCGAGGGTTGCGATCCCGTTGCCGGTCCCAACCGTTACCGGTCAGTAAAAAAGACAAAAAGGAAAAAAAAAAAGAAGGAAGGAAGAAATTAAATCTAATGGGCACTTTTCAGTTCTCATTTAC